TAAAATAATATTGATGCAACCGGGTCTAATACCTTTAATATGGCGGACATATTTTCTCGCGCGATCGAAAAAAAAACGACTCTGCCCTCGCGATATAGCCTCTCCTAACTTCGCTAAAAATATAGTAGATCGTTCTTTGATCAGAAGTGGCCATTGAAAACAAAAAAGAAGAAAAATATAGCAGTGAAAGATTGAGACGCTCGCCAAATTAACCTGTAATACATACCGAATGCAATCTTATGCACACTCGAGACCGATTGATTGAGCCTCGCGATATATTTTTATAACGAAAATATCAAAAAGAAGAAACCATGATCGATACTGATTATAAAGGCCTTTCGAGAATACGTTGCGGAAATGTCCCAATTGCCAAATTATTGCGATCTAGCGTCAAACTAGTTCGACCCGAATACCGGACACAATTTCACTCACGCTCAGGACCAGGAAGGCGATAACACTGTGCACACTCGCGATATGTTTCCGTAGAAAATGTCGGAGAAATACGCGACGACCACTCGCGAGTGAAGCGAATATTTAATATGGCGGATGCAATTTAACTCAAGGCCGATCAAGGCCGATCGAGACCGGCGAAGGAAACTCGACTGCTGCGCCTCTACTTTATTATCCTTCGCGGGGTTGTGTTCGGAAATCTACTCATCGGAGTTCAATGACCATTTGATTGGCAAATCAGAGCAAGGGTCGTCTCGCGAATGCTTTGTTCTGATTAGTCGATTAACATTAGTCTATTTGTGTAGATTTTTCGAACGCAACCCGCGGAACGACTCGAAGGATGACGGAAATGACCGAAATCGCCCGAAAAATACGCGTATATGCAATTTTGAAATATTTCGCAGGCGCAAACCTGATGTTTTTATCAGTTATTAGTGTACTACGATGTATCGAAGGTGTTCAGTGGGTATTTCTCGTCTGTGCTTTCGGCAAATCTGTGAAAATGCGAGTCGTACTTTCGTTAATCTGATCTCACGGAAAGTTTTGTGTATCATATTTCGTGCGAGAGTGTATCAGTCATCGCGTATTTTTCTGTGACATTTTTGGCAAAGTATACAAGAATGTACCGCGAGCGACACAGATGCCTGCTCCCGATCGCGCGGGAAAATGTGTCCGTCATATTTGACAATGAGTTATTTCGCGCGAGTACGTTGTGTATTTCTCGTCGATTTTCTAAGGAATCTGTGAGAAATGCATTGTAAGAGAGCTCGGCGACTGCTTTCATTAGTTCCGATTGCGCGGAAAATCGTATCCGCCATATTTAAGTTGAAGTCAGCCGCGTACATCTCGTGCTTCCAGCTGATCTGTCAAAAAATGTCTCGCGAGGTGACAGTCAGCTGATTATCGGATCGTGATTCTCTCACTATTTCTCCGAACAAGAGGTATTTATTTTGTAATATTTCTATTTTTTAGTTGCATATGTATGTAAATCTATTTCTTCTTGGAAGAATTACATATATTTATTATATATTTATTTTATATATTTATTATATATTTATTATCTTGATAAAAGAAAAATAATTTGACTACTTTCAGCGCAATTTTCCAAAGTACTGTATATATCACTTCATTAAAACGACGCACCTTTATTAATGTCAGCGTGTATTAATTGCGAGACGATACTTGATGAAGTAAACCAATTAGCAATGACCGATGACGCTACGTTAAGGCCAAGGTTTGCTCTTTTGTTTCAAGGCATCGATCGACAACTTGTTTTCCTACCCTTTCGGATTAAACTAATGAACTTACTCGACACGAGAGTCTTCGGTGAAATGTATGTACACAAAATTCCATTTCATGACTACGAAGATAGATTATTCAGAATTTCTGTTATCGTACGTAATTCAATTAGAATATTGCCTTACTTTGTAACAAAGTATCTTTCTTTACCATGAAAACACCGGCAACGTGTGTGGAGATTCATTACAGAGCGCCGATTTTACGTCTAATGCGAACACTTAAAGGCTAAAGGGATTATGTTGAACTGTCAAGCGTCTTTGTCTCTTTACCATCACAAAGGGAGAGAAGCCGACATTTTCGCGTAAATTAAATGAAGCGCAAAACGAGCGAAATACCACGTATTTAACGGTAGGAAGTAGGGCACGAGGAATACGGGCGATGGAATTGAGTCAAGCTTGAGGATACCTGACATTAAGTTCTACTTGGTTCAGAAACTTTAATTGCAATCTGTAATATAAAGCGACAAGTATTACAATATTATAAAGATGTGATGGTCTCTCATTATATTCATGTAACCGTATAAATATTTTCAAGATGGAATGCTGGAAAGTATATGAGAACATTCCATACAGTCCATACATTTTTACTCTATATTTTATTTACGTCTCTCACAGACTGCAACATTTAATTAAATGCAAATGGTACATTCGTATACGCGCTATTTCCTCTATTTTCATATGTTTAACATGAAAATATTTCATAAATTGTAATATTTACGGTGAAAAATATCCCTGAATTTTACGTTTCAAAAAAAAGTGATTTGTAAAGAAAAATTTGTCAAAGGATTCGGCGTTCAAATTAGGCAAATTTGACAAATACACCTGTAACAATAATATCAAATCAACAAAATAAATTAAATAAATTTATAAAATAAATTAAATTCTCATAAATATAAAAAACAAATATAATTTGCCTTTTTTATTATAAAAATCAAACAAATTTATAAACCATAAGCAAATATGAAAAATGAGAGGCGCATTTTTTAATCCAAACGTGCTGAATATCTCGAATTGATTTTTCGCTTGAAATACTCTTAATAGTTGCGTGTGATTTCACTTTGAATTTAGGAAGCCGTAGATAATCCCTACGACGGTATAATTGATTTTCGAAGCGCCGTCTTGGCGCGAATGAGTTTTCTCCTTAATTGTTCGACCATTCACGCTGTTAACTTTATCACCATTCTAGCTCGGGGCAAATTGATAATTTAATACGAGCACGCATGTACGCCATTAACCAACATGTGAAATGTTTTCGTTGCCAGTAACCGGAAGTTCCGTGGAACATCCCTCGAGTGTTTGCGCCACTCGAACGCCTCTCGAGACTCTCGCAATCGCAATACGCGCTGATCTATTTCAATCGCGATGTGCGTCGAAAAGCACGTGACTGTCGACGTGATAAGACGCAAAAAAGTACACGCGCGAGACTAGTTGTACAAATTTTTTCGCAAATACAGCTCTTGCCACGCTTCGATCATGTTATTACAAGTGAAAGTTTAATATTTTTAAAAAGATATTAGATAGAATTTTTAAAAAAAATCTCGTATCATCCTAAGCATATCTAGATAAAAAATTAAATGTGCTATGTTTATTATATTATCAAGCAACAGTCGTCAAAAATTTTAATCTAATGTGATTTGAGATGTACGTATACACACATACATATGCACAATTTGTGATCTATTGTTCGAGCTAACATGCGAATCAGTTGATAAATTCGATTCTATCTGTCAAATTCGACATAATGGTTAACCGTATGATACGGAGATAATTGACGTTTAGGGACATATGCAATGGATAATGCGATGTTCGTCTACCGTATCCTTGCCATTTAAATTCGCTCGCAATACGACTCGGAATAAAGGCATAATCGACGAATCTCCCTTGAATATGATCGTTAGTCACGTATGTTTTTAATCGACCGCTGATGACCCTTGATAGCCTCGTATTAATGTACTATGTAAAGTTGATATGCATTCACATGCACGTTAATTTGCTGAAAATATAATGTACATGGCAATGTGTTAAATCGATATTGCTCATAAAATTCGCCAACATAATAATTACGACTAAATGGTGGTTTAATAAATTATTCGCATTTAATGTCAGCTTTTCAAAGATTACTGATATATATATTAAAGCCTTTTGTTTTGTTGCATACAATTATATAAATATCAAATGAATAATGCAAGCTTTTAAATAAAATTGAGCTTCAATCACTCGCGAGTGAATGTTCCTTCTTGACTTTATTGCGATCTCTATTTCAATTAATTTATTTATTCTCGAGCGATATCTCTTTTATCTATTGTACAAATTTTACGAAATTTCGTAATTGTTGTCTTGGGTTGCTGATCGATCGCCATTAATGATTATCGTATCCGGATAATAGATTGGAGGATGCAGTATCGTGAAAGAAGAAGAGGTGTTGTTTGACCTACTAATACACAGTACACAGCTAATTAAACGACAAATAAGGGTGCGTCAGGCTATTCCGGTTATCATCCCCAATTCGAGATTTCGTTGATTAATTCTCATTGTATTCTTTATTGGCCCAACTGTAAATAATTATTTTCGTAATGAATCCTTTCGCCGATGTATTTATAAAATAATAATAGCATGATTGTTTGCTGCATAAACAAATTAAGTATCTCATTTGTTTTTACAACATTAATTTATTTTGGTAAACAAAGAAAGAGAGTTAATAATAGCTTCTATCTATATTTTATTGGGAAACAACATGCGCGGATATTGTAACAAATATTATTGATGTGCAGTTTGCGTTAACGTTATTTGTAAAAACATCAATGTGTGAAACATCGCTTTTGCATCGAGTCAATATTTGTCACCGATATGACAAACGATGTGAGATTCTGTCATCAAAATATTCTTAAATAACTTACTGCAATATATCGAATTATATATGATAATAACCATCGATTTTCGCGGTTATATTGCACAAAAGCCGAAAGCCACGTTAAAGCGTTCTCTTTGTGTGACAGGAAAATAATTGATGTATTTTCTACTGTGTAAGCTTATTACAATAACCTGTAATGTCTAACTACATGACACAATAATTAACTAAAATTAATCATAAAAAACAATCACCCTGAAATAATTAGAATTATTAATTTTACGCGAATATGATGGCAATAAAATTATAAAGGAACTACGCGTAAAAAAAGAACATGTTTTTCTGCTTCACTGGGAATACCAAGCGATATCAATAATTAATTAATAACACGCGATATGTTTCAGAATCGATCATTCTGAGAATTGTGCGTATTTCCGAAATAAAAGCAGCTGAGAGAAGAGGACTCACGGACAGTAATCCAAGAAGCCGCCATGGATTCGCATGTAAGTAATACTAATTATATTATATATTTGTACAATAACTGCACACGAATTATAATATTCATACTTTATAAAATAATTTTGACATTTATTGATTTTGACTTCTGCCTCCAAAGCGAAATCATTTTAAGTTGAAAGCAAAAAATGTAATAAATTATTTTATATTTTATATTGCATTTCTAATAAATTACATAATTTAATTTTGAATACTTTTCTAGTTTTAATGCAGTAAAAATCCATTTTAAAAAAATATTATAAGCAAATAAAAATATAATATTAAATATATTTCTTCTTTGCTCTAAACTCTTTTATATATATTTTTTTTTAATTTTATTTTAATATTTTTATATTTGTCATTAAACATGAAATCATAAAAATAAATATATCATAAATTTCGCTCTACATCAGTGGTATTAATGAATCAAACGCCAATATAATTAAATTACGATATCTCATTCCATTCCGCGTCACTTGGAGAAAATTTGCGATCGCATATTTTGAAATTGATGAATAGATTTCAAAACAAGTTCAATCACTGTTTCGTAACGCTCTTAGCTCTTTTAGTTATAGCAATAATTGTGCGTACTTTGGATAATTTAGATAAGATGATCTCGAGAATCCTTATAAAAAAGAAATAAATAAAAACTAGCATAACACTATACGAAACAGGCAACAACACACTTTTTATTCATAACAATTTTTATTTAATTTGCTTTTCTAATAAAGAAAACAACGTTGGTTATCATAATAATACGTCAATCCAAAGCCAGATATTTATTCGATGCCAGTCGACCTTTCAGTTTGTCAACATCAACAAAAGAGAATCTCAAAATCTTATTATTTGCATGCATCTGCCACCGCCGGAATATTGGAGAGATACTTTTCTCTGTTAGAATATCTATAAATGTCTTCGCGGAAAGGTAATATTTTCTATATAAACTGAAAGATCAATCGCAGGCTATCAGCAAACTGCCGACGTTTTTCTTGGCATGTAAAAAATATCGAAAGGATTAGCTGGATTGACATTTGCAGACGTACATTTTTAAATGGTCTTCTTGCAATGCAACTACATAACTTTATTTTGTAGAATTTCTTTGTCGCAGCAGAAACTCTGAATACTTTTGAATACAATCTGAATTATCGAGATAGAAAAACTTAAAAGACGTTGCATGCAATTGACAAAGACTATTTATATTTTGCTTTTTTGTGTTGCTTTTTTTATTTTTCTTTTGAGTTTGATTTTAGAATAATTTATATAATTTCTCATTGAATAATATGTTTTAATAGATAATTTTCTGTGATTCATTTATTTCAAATTTTTATTTAATTTTTGCATTTCTGAAGTTTTTCAAGCAAATTCAAAATTTACTTGGAAAAGTTGCGAAAAATCAGTTTTGTAATGCTGATTAATAATAAAATTAAAATATACATATATATGATTTTTTAATATATTCAATATATTTAATATATTTAAATTTTACATAAAAAATTGAATTTAAATCGATTTATTTAATAAAAAGTTTGTCTAGTAATTTTATATATGATGTCTAAAATATAATATCAAATACCTAAAATAAATTGTTGGATATATTGAAAAAATAATATAATGAATATATTGAAAATAATATAATAGATATATTGAAAAAATAATATATTAAAGATATCTATACAAAAATGTTGAAAATCGTTTCTTAGAAATAAATTATTCTTGTATTTATAAACAATTTGTAAATAATTCCCTAGAAGAAATTATTTATTAATTTTCTTATAAGAAAACCATTTTATTTACTATTATCTGAGGAGATTATTTAATCATCAAGATTATAATTGCAGTTATTTCATTCTGAATAAAATTCATTATGTAATTCATTGTGAAAATCACTCAAAATCATTCAAAGAAATTTCCAAGTAATTTGTATCATAACAATTATGTTATTTTCTACTTTATTGCATTCTCATGGCAATTCATGCTCTTTTATTCGGCAAAGTCAAAATTGCATTAATTGCGTTCATGTGATATTGTTTGCCAATGACATTTTAGTAATATCACGTTAAAATTAATCGCTTCTCAACAATAATCATAATATATTATACCATATTACTGACCGAAAAAAGATTTATATAAATTTATTTAATTATTTAATGCGTATTTGCATACAATTAGAAATAGTAATCACATCTTTTTACAAAGTATTTAAATTAATGAGCAATAATATTTTATCTTTATTTTTGTCCAAAAAAAAACATATATATATATTGTATATACTCTAATCCTGCAAATATTTTTTATTTCACGAACATCACGTTAAAGTAAGAAAATTTTTTTGAAAAATCTTTCTGAAACGCAGTGCTTCTGATGGTACTATTTTATTTATCGGCAGCTTATTACGATATCTGCTTCTAATAATATCCGTGTGTTTTTATACAACGCAAATCCTTAACGAGCTTTTTCCAAGCAACGCACTTTTGCACGTGCATATGTAATAAATATAACAGGGTTTTTTTCCTTCATAAAGAGGTTTATGCGAAAGCTTTACATGGATCATGAACTGCGATCACTTAGGACGATAACAGTAAAAAGCAACACGCTTTCTGTATTTTCCCGCATGTGGATTTTCGCATGAAGACAAACGCTTGCTTCAAATGCTTCACTTTACGCTGTAAATGCCCTTTGGTGTATTCACAAAAGTCTACGCTTTCCAACGAGGTCAAAGCGAAATTTCCCCGTAAGGGATTGCCGATTCCCTACGAACTAACAACGAAGATTTCCCCATAGCTATCACAAAACACGAAGAAACTTGTCTCTGAGAGAATCGTACATTTGATTTATGTATCACATTTATCCCTACGTGTATTCAAAAAGTGGAACAAATTAAATTGAGATTAAATTGAGTTATTAATTAACTTGCCTCTCTTAATCTTTTTATGTCTACAGTAAGCAAATAATCCAGCTACCGCCCCTTTTCTCAGAAAAGTTTTTATACTCAAAGCAGATGTTATTTTTAATTATATTCTATGTCATTATATATTTGATGGCCGTCATTTATTAGCACGTGCGTGGAGGGAGTGAACCATGTAACTTCATATCACTTAATATTATTTATTTTTCCCAAGGGTTTAGAAACACTTTGCATATAATGTAGTGTGCAAGTACAGTAACGGGTACAATTTTGCTATATTTTATATAAATTTATATGAATTTTATATGAATTTTATATGAAACTTATATGAATTGTTATTATGAAAATTGTTGCGTAATATATTAGAGAGAGAAGTTTCTCTCTTTGCTCTATAAAAATATTTTACAATATACATATGTTAGAGAAAAGTCTTGAAGGTATTTTCAGAATGTACGCTTCTCTCCTTTTCCGAGAGTATTTTGTATTTTTAGTTAGAATTTTACAACTTGTTTATACAGAATTGAAATGAAACTATGACAATATAATTCATAGGTAATACAAAACGGATATCCACGAGAGGACTAATTTGAATATCGGGAAAACGATATTTCGTATATGGAGAGTATCAAACACTTTGACACGAAGTAGCGATCGCCATTATTGATGGCCGTCCTGTCTCAAATGCTCTCGATAATGCGATAAGTGTTCTCTCAGTATAAAAAGCTCGGGTTCGAGCTTTAACGAAATTCAGAGTCCAATAGGAAGGCTAACTTTCCGTGCGAAATGACCATTCATTTGCTAGCCTCAGAGCAGTTTTCCAACGATTTACGGATGCTCGTTTATGTAATAAAATGTAGCGAGATATGAAGACCCGTTTGTACCCAGTTATACGGAAGTATAAAGATATATTCCTCTTGACAAGTGAAGTATAAGTGCATGCTTTTCCGGGACAGTGCATTGCGTGTGTCACACTTAAAGTAATTCATTCAAATGTAAAATTATATGCAGAATGTTATTAAATAAGTAAATAAATAAAACAAATTTTCTTGTAATAAAACATGCACATTTAGATTTTAAAAAAGATATAAAGAAGAAATATATGGAGATACAATTTTGCCAAGTGAAATTATTATCGTGGAAAGAGGGCTTTTATATACATTGTATGAAACGACGAAAAAGAATATATTCTGAAAGATTGTGTGGATTTACGTAAAATGTTTTTCAAAGTTGTTTTCTCGGAAATCATTAAAAATAGCGATATAATTCTTTTTTAATTTAAATATTAAAATTCATTGAAACATTATGGGAGAAGTCTACATAATTCACACACAATTTTTTAGTATAATAAAAATCAAGGAAAATATAGAAAATAAGATTTTTATAACTTGTGTTCTATTATTAGAAACAAAAAGTAAATCTCTGCAATCATATATTTCTAAATTTTCGAAACGTTTGATTAAAATTTTGTAAACTACAATATTAAAAAATTAATTTTCATTGTTGATTCGTATTATTTCGTAATTATTCCTGCGAGAAAAAAATTTGTGTTCGATAATTTCCGATGTCGCGTGCAGTTATCTTTATAAGAATTAATATAGCGATAGTTTCTTCGACAAAGCGAGAGCTTTACGGGATTCAGCATCAACATCTCGGAAACTACTCTCGAAACTATCGTAGGGATGAATTAACATGCGTCTAGAAACCGCGATACAAGGTAAAGAGAAATGTGCTGTAGAAATTGTCGTTATTCGCAAAGTTTATGTTGAGGCGACCTAGAATAATCTTGTGCGCAAGCTGTAGTTTATGAGATCGAGCGTTACAGTAACGTAGAAAAGTCAGAGGGAAAATAAACAATTTTATTGCCTCGTCATCGTACCATGGAAATGAACACGAGAGGAAAAATGCGCAGCCAACTATGAAATCATTTGGGAAGTTTTCCAAAGGATTTCTATGAACCGATTCAAAATAAGTAATCACAAATGATATCATCTCTCTTACGAATATTTGTAAATATGAATATCATGCTTTTAAAGTGACAAGCATATCAATGGAAATTTTCTAACTTTTTAAACAAACTGCTATTATCATCTAAAAATAATAGTAATAATAATATAATATTATATAATATAGTGAATAATTAATAATATATTATTGTGATAAATTCTTAAACTCAAATAAGCTCTAGTATGATATATTATTAGTTATTTATATGATATTAATATTTAATTTCTACAAGAACCATATATTGTATAGTCCAATAATTTATAATCCAATAATTTTAACGATGCTGTTTTGCATATTAATTTGCAGTTTTAATGTTAACAGCCATGCTGTTAATTCATCGCAAACAGATTCGATTATTGATCGCTGACAAAAATTTTTATCATACACTAATGTCACTTGATGAAAATGTTACCAAAATAATAAAAATTTATGAAGAGGAATATCAGTTTTGATAAAACTCTCGTTGCATAACATTAAGCCGTAGATGACAATGGAAAGAAGCAGAAAATAAATGCAGCAAAAGAAAGAGCGTGCCATAAAATGAAGGAAAAGCTTTTTATGCGCTATTTACGGCTTATATTTTATTGCAAATGTAGAATAATGTGCAACTCGGTAATTCAAAACTTATAACAAAAAGAGTGTATCGATGTAACGTAATGCAATGTGTGAATGTAATTTAGAATAAAATATTATTTGTCTATAAATATTGTTTCTTTAAATATTATATCAAGTGCTACTTGCGTGTGTGAAAAAAATATAATATTCTTTTCAACTAATAAATTAGTATTAATGTAATTTTTTCGAGTTTTTTTTAAATATTTAATATTGACATTTGCAGTCAAATACACATCGCGTCATATGATCTTTTATGATATAATTCTATAATTTATATAGGCTGCAGCATAAAACATATATAAAAATGTTTGACTTGTATTTTAGATGTGGATCAACATACGATGAATAGCTTGAGCAGAGTTAAAAAATTTTATAACATAACGAAATACATAGATAATATACATTCATTATCTCTAATTTTATAAACTAAGTATCAAACAAATTTTCATTGCAAATATCACAAACTAATTTTACATTTCAAATATCAAAGTAATAAAGAAAAAACTATTAATAAAAGTAATTGATATTCGAAGCTTATCCCAAACTTTTTGTCGATTTTTTTAACCGCACAATTTGTATTTTTTTGCTTTTTTTTAATATGAGTATCTTTTTAATTATAAAAAGAATAAAAGAAATATATATATTTAAAAATTATAGAATATAAATTATAGAATATAATATATTTAAATAATTATAGAATATAAAAGAAAGTTCCATTAGTTTTATTTAAGTTTATCACAATTTAATTAATCCTCTGTCTTCATTTATTATGGTATTATAATTTAGTTAAGAGAAAAGAAATTTTTAATTAATCACTATTAGATTAAATGATATTTTGCATATTACATGAAATATGTTATGATGCTATTATGCTAATGATAATAGGATGGTTCTTTTTCAAATTTTTAAACTTTATTTTGAGATAAAAATTTGTTGAAAAATGTAGAATTTCTGCATATATTGCTCACATAAATAAAGTACATAGAGTACAAGATCATAAAAAAATATTCGGCAAGCATTTGATGTTGTTATGTATCTTTTTCTTCTTTGTTGTGGAAAAATAAATCGTGAAATTTCTCGAAAATTCTGTAACAGGAGATTACAATAAAAAATAGAAAACAAATACAATTCAAGATATCGATTTTGGCAAGTTAAAAATCACAAAAGTCCATCCGAGATGAATCCTTCGTTTTTGCATGGGGAGGCTCGAGTTAACATTTTCTGTACGTTTTTACGTTTTACGTGCATTTTCACATTTTAATATATCGGTTCCGATACACAAATTAAATACAGAGATTTGAAATATTTGTGCGATAAACGTATCTCCATGTAGAGCATGAAATTGTTTTATTTAACTTGACTTTATTAATGAATTTTTTATCTGAAATATGAAAAAAATGGATCATGTACCGAACATTGGTGAACCAACATTTGAAAAACAATACATCTATTAACGAAGCAAAGAGAGAAAGAAAGAGAAAAAATTTTTCAAATATTCTCCCATTTAATATACTATGTGAGGGTAGATATAAAATTATAAACGAATAAAATAAATTCACGGTGCATACTATTTAAGTAAACGAATTGCTGTTTTGATTCCCTTCTCTCTAGTTTTCAGTATCTTGTTATCTTCTCGTTAGATAACGCGCTTCGTCATTCGCTACTCTTAATCGATAGATTTTTCTCTTACTTCACGATCACATATTTGTTACTGTCAAATTGGAAATTTAGACGAAATAAATTCCGGAAAAATAACGCGCGCGTTCAGATCAATAACTAAAACGAGTTTTAAAAACGACATTTATGAAATAGCTGCGCATTTAGAATTTACAATAATTATGAATATTAATTCATATTTGCATTGAATTTGTTTCAGAGAAATGATGACATCGACCGGATCAAGAACTCGATGAACGAAAAATTGAAATCAGAATCCGATCGCTGTAATCATGGAAATAAATTGGGAACAGGTAAGCAGAATAGCATTTAAATAATTTCAAAAAAAATGATGCGCGAAATATTGCCACGTGTTAAATGATATTTCATGAGAGAGAGAGAGAGAGAGAGAGAGAGAGAGAAAGAGAGAGGAAAGAAACGATTGCGACTGACACAATTAAGCATCCATTTAGTAAAACAGTATCATATGCATGAACGATCTTAAATTATCGTTTAGCCACCTGCTTCGTGTTGGATCATGTATCGCTCCACTCGCATGCATTTCGATCTCTTCTCGTGTCGCTCCTATTACGTAAAATTATGATTGATGGTTTGAGTTTAAGTTATGATTGATGGTTTATCAAATAATACGACATTCTAATTGATTAACTTTACTGTATTAGTCGTAGAATAGGAAATACACAATAGGCAACCTAGATGTAATTATAATGAGCATATAATGAAACATATGCAATCAAATACAAATAATCACCAATTGCCAATAGAATCGTAAATAATTAATTTTTCAATTATTTAGTAACTGAAAATATTCAATTAACAATCTATTTCTTACGATATTTGCATTTATTTAAATGAAATATTATTATTGTGTTTGTTTAATTAAATGTTATTACCATGTTTATATCCACTTTTAAAAAGCGTATATTGAATTGATACACAAATGTGTCTTGCACTTTAAATTAATTTCAATAATTGGACCAATATCACATATTAAATTTATTATTCATTTAAAAAATGAATATTAAATATAGTTCATATTATAGTTTGATCAAAAGATTATTTATTATTTATCTAAATTAATTTAATATTATCATTTAAAATTTTTTAAATTTTAATATTTTAAATAAATGTTCCAATTTTAAAACTAAATTTTCATACTTCGAGATTTCCTTTTAAATTATAAATTTGTTAATTGCAGTTTATTAAATAATATATGATATAGAGAGAAAATAAATGGCGTGCATATAGCATGCGTCTCATAATAGTCTAGTCATATAAATTGCACAATGTATCGATTTATAAAAAGCTTCCAGTAGTATTTTTGCAGTCGTGAATCAAAAATTGAGATACGATCTAAAACTATTTCTTCTACTTTTCACGTTACAAGTTTAAATTGCATTTTGACTCTTGTTTTTTAAGAGACAAAATAATTCGTGCTGTCTTTGAAGCATCAATGATCAATTGCAATGAGCACTTTGAAAGCATCAATGATCAATTGCGGCAGTAAACAATCGAAAGCGAACATTCACGAGCGATAAATTTGCATAATGCAGGGTCTGGAAAGACCGAGATATGATGCACATGTGCAACACATGGACTAATGTCAAGCGTTCACACGTGTCGCATTTTGCGTTTCCGCGTGTGTACACACGTGTGTGAATAAACATCGCTTATAGAATGTCTCCGAAGCAATTAATATCACAATTAATCTCGTATCACGATGCCGGCTTGTTTAAACAACTCGGACGAAATCAGATGTAGAGCCAATATGTCACCACTAGTTACACAAGCAACATTTGATTGCGAAGCCAAACGAGTTTCGCAGATTTTGTTTGATGTCTTAGTATAATAGAAAATTATATACAATTGTCGCTTAATACATATTACATCATTCTATTCATTTAATATTAATTATTTTATTAATTATTATTTCTATTCATTTAATGTTAATTATTTTATTATGAATCCCCCCCCCCCGAATTTCAATAAATGAATATATGAATCTTTTTCAATAAATAATCCAGGATAATCAAATACATTAGTTATAAGAATCTTTTTTAAAGCCTTGCATTTTTTACATAATTGTACCTATTCATCCGACAGAAACGTTTTAATTCGAGAATAACTGGAGTTGAAATGAAGATAATTACGAAAAAGCTCTAGTAAATTATTTTAATGTTCCGATTGTTAAGAAGCAAAGTGTTAAATGTAGCTCGAAAGAATAAAGGATCAAAGAAAAAACACATCGCGATATAATAAATTCTAGTCCGTACAGTCATGTCTGGAGTTAAAAGTACTTTAAACTCTTAATAATCTGTCGTTTTTACATAATTCAGTTTTATCACTATGCATAATGTACAGAAATTTTAAATCAGATGGCACTTGACAAAAAACCAATGAACTTTTTTTTTAATTCCTCTATAGAATGTATCAAAAATGTCGCGCACATTTTTCACGCTTTTTTTTAAAACATTTTTTATCTCATATATAATTTTCGAGAATTTTATATTTTATCTAATTTAAAGTTATATATATACGTGGCAAAAAGCGAGAATATTTTAACACACATACATTGATACATATTATAAGTTTAAAATCCAATTAAAGGAATACATAAATAAAGTAAACGCTGTTTGTGTCTCGAAGCATTCCATGTCATCGTCACACGCTTCATTCGAATTCTAATAGTTCCCAATTGTATCGAATTTTATTAGAATATTCGACACCGATCGGAAGGCTGCGCACGACTTGGGATGCAACGGATGTATGTGGCAACGGAGAGTGCATCGGTGGATGCACAGTACATCTGGCCTTGTAATATGCCATGTACGCGTATAATGAACCTCGATAATACCGAGTATATGGCATTGTTTCACGCAAATGCGGTAATCCTACTGCTTCACTCCGTTCGCATCTCTGCACAGAACATGCGAATGCGTGATATACATATGAAAACGATCAAATGCAATTTCGTTCATACATGTCTGTTTAATGGATTGCGCTAAGCCGTTGAACCTGCCACTGAAAGATTGCTCGATTCAATCGGGAAAACAAGTTTCTCGTTTAACTTTGAAGTGATGATTCCCATGTGTGAATTAGGCTTGCTCATGGCAATGAATTGGCTCGACATAGCACATTTAATAATAATATAAATGTAAATATATATGTATATGTTTATGAAGGAGTACATTGAGAAAAATGTCCGATGAAAAGATAATGAATGGATATTATATCGATCACTTTTAATCGGATATCTGATCGGAAAGTTCCGAATTTTGAACTTTCTGATCAGATATCCGATCGATCAATATTTTCTGATTGGATATCTGACCGGTTTTTTTTTTTTTTTTTTTTTTTTTTTCGATTAAAGTGATCGGTATAAATCCGTTATCCGTTATAAATTCGTTATCTTTTCACCGGATATTTTTTTCAGTGTATGATTCGTAAGTGTTCAGTAGATGTAAGAGATATTTAAATTACATTCCAAGTGAAATAAATAAACATTTAATCCAAACAGAATCTATAAGTTCTAAAAAGTCTCGAGATAAAATGTGTTTATTTAAGTGCCTTCGTTATTTCTTCTTGCGCTAATATTTGGACGTAATTTTATTCAGATTGGTGCCCCGAAATTTGGGACACGATACTATGTTGGAACTCGACAGCACCAGGACAGTTGGCGATTCAGCACTGTCCCTCTTACATCATGGGTTTCGAACCTCATGTAAGTATAGTCACGTTTCATCAATTGTATCAAACATAAAACTGAATTGATTCGTGTAATAGCTTTTTCGGAATCAATACTTTGCGCTTACGTATATAAAATTTTACCATTGAATTATATATGTATATAGAAGACACATATTTATATGTACGTTGAAAATTTAAACGATCGGAACAAATTAAAATCGAGATAAAAAGTTTAAAACTTCGAGAAACTTAATTATTTTCTCGGTCTAATAACGTTCTAATGTAGATCTTCGCTGATTGATCGGCGAAATCTATTTTTCAGACCCAACTGATTGAGATGCTTCCGGCACAATCTGGCATCAAAGTTTTCCAACATATCCAAACGCTTTTCCGACGAATTTAAATTCTAGTTCTTCTTAAGCAGAACTTTAGCAGATACTTCATTCATTCTATAACATTTTTCAGTGCTCGAGCTTTTAGATATCTTTATTGAAAATTAAAATATGCAAGTTGTAAAATTTTATTAAAGTAAACTCAATCGAAATTAAATTCGAAACAAATCTCTCAGAACAATCTTGCTTGTAGTTTGAAAGATAACATATTTCGATACTTTTATTAAGTTAAAAGTTAGATGACAAATACTTCTTTTTTTTTCAGGCATATGCATCGAAGCAATGCATGCCAAATGGCCAATGGTATGTAAATGCTGCTAATATGATATGGAGTAATTATAGCCAGTGTTATCAAGATCAGTTTGTTGTCCTGAACATATCGGATGTACAGGCGAATAATATTACTCTCAAGGTAAATAGATAAAAATAGCTGAAAAAACAGTTCGATAAATGAATTAGACATTTTGTTAGAACTTTTAGACTTTTTTTGTTAGAACTTTAAGTAATCATGTGTGTAATTCATCGATCGAAGGAATAAATTTGCCATGCGGAAAACGGCGGAGATGAAGAGATCAATTGGAATCACACGGTGACATGACGTCAGTCATTCTACTCGCGAGGAAATGAGTGCTGTAAATGACTCTGTCCACCCAGGTGGGCGTCATGACGCTTTACATAGTAGTCCAAGACATTGTCGTAAAATTAGTTTTCTTGGACGGTAATGAAACGAGCGAACAGACAGATGAGTCAATAGCTACAGCATAATAGTATTATTAAGGAAAATGGGTGGAAAATGTTAAAAAGAATTTTTCTTCCAGTTTTGCGTTGAATTTTAAAGCCGATAGTCAAGGCTTGCTTCCTCGTAAAGCAACGGCAGCTTCAGAATTCGAACTGAGCAATTATTTATTCAACCATCAATTTCTCTTTCCAGCAACTTTTCGATCTTCAATAAATTTAGTAAAAAATTCAATTAATTTAGTAAAAACAAAGTAGAAAAAATAATTTCAAAGTTTTAGACACGTTGATTAAAATTTTAAGCTCGATATATTATATACATTTGACGCGTGAGATATTTGAAATCTAAATTAACAACTTTACGCGAAATTTATCGAATAAAGTGGCAAATATTAACATATTTATTAATTTTAGTACAAGCGAAGAATACAGTTAAAATATTGTATTCTAAGCGTAAAACGACTAAAAATTACATAACGAAAAGCTTTATATAGCGATAATGAAATCATAATATAACAGGTAATAATCTCCTTAAGCATCATAAATACTGCATAAAAGCGAATACAGAATGAAATAAAAAAGGAATTAATGAAAAATTAAGTAGAAAAAGAGTGTAATAAAGAAGACTGTAAGAGTTTACGAGCCATAAATTGAATGTCATTTAAAACTTTCCAACGTATCTCGAAGAAAGATCATATTTATGACAATATTGTTTTACAAAGCATTATTTAAAGTCGCATCGATCGATAAATTAGACTTAATTTAAAACGATAAGCTACTCTCAAAGATAAGTCGATTTATTCTACTACTTAATATTCTTTCACTATTTAATATTTTAATATTCTCTAAAAATTTTATCTAATTAATATTAAGATTTTACGCATACTTTAATTATTGAAACAATCAAAATGATAAGGAAATCATTAATTATTTTTTTTAAATACAGTTGCAGAATTTCTTTCCGATAGTGAAGACCATTTCGAAGCTCGGCTACACAATTTCATTATTCACTCTCATCATCGCGTTTTGTATTTTGGCGACTATTAAGTAAGTATAATTATATAAATATAAAATTTTAACGCATATGATTGTAACGAGACGTTTTATACATTTTCATTTTATACATTTTTTTATGCTTCCATACATGTTTCCAATTTATAAATAAAAAACAACTATAATTTAATATTTTTTGAATGTTTTAAAGAAAATTTCTTTCTTCTATTTCTTTATTCCTTCAGCATATATTGCGTTATAAAATAGAGATTTTAATATCGAAATTAGCGATAGGAAAAGAATAATAGAACTCTCATCTTATTTAATTAATATTATTTAATATTATTATTGATATAAATGCAAGCCTGGAAAACCGTCGTTGGGATTTTTAATTAATTTAATTTCAAAATCAAATCGTGTGTCTCACGGCGTCACATGAAATCTTGCATATTTTAATCGAAACGTAATTCGCATTGCCACGTTCAAGTTTGTCTCCCATCGGACGTAGGAAATTGCGATGCTCGCGGAACATATTGCACATGCATCTGTTCGTCTCATTCGTGATGCGAGCATTTATGGCGCTACTCAAGGACCTGCTCTTCGTATCCGGTATCGGACTGGCGGATGCTGTGATCAAACATGACGAAGGCTATTGGATTAATGATACAGAAAACAACTGGCACTGCAAAATGTTTACCAGCTTGTGGCAATATTTTATTCTGGCCAATTATTCCTGGATCCTGATGGAGGGTGTATATCTACACAATCTGATTTTTTTCGCACTCTTCTCCGACGCCAACTCCAGCATCGCGGTCTACGTTGCTTTTGGATGGGGTAAGTAAAATTTATTTTAAGAAATCATTGTTAATTTTAGAAGGATTTCTGAAATCATAATCAATCTTATATATTTCTAGAGATTGATTATAAGTTACTTTGTTTTTATTAACAACCTTGTCACGTTAATAAATTGTGACATATTTATGAATATAAAGTATATTTTTATATAAAATATATTTATATATTATATCTTAATAGACTTATATAAAAATATATACATATCTTGTGTATGTTTTAAAAAAATTTAATACAGATTTTTTTACTGAGTGAAGAATAATTTCAATTTCTAATTAATCTAAAACTAGCCTTTTAACTTTTTTAATTAATTTAAAATCCAACAATTTAATTAATCTAAAATTTAATTCTTAAAATTAAAATATTTTATACATTCATCGATCTGTATGCTCTGCTCTTATTTGATTAAGTTGCAATGTTTTCGTAATAAATATTTAATTTATTAGCTTTTTCTAACTTTTTATTGCAATACTATCTAACATTAAAAAATTAAACAAAAACACAGAAGCTACATTTTTATTGATGAAAAGCGTGCTGAATTGCAAATACAATGAAGAGCAAAGTACAAATCTGCTTCAGATATATATTTCTTTTGAAATATGTTATATAACTTTTAACAGCAAAAGATAATATGATTTTCTACAAGAAAATTGTATGATTTTTCAAAATTTTCAAGAATTACCATAGAAGAAAATCACAACATAGTTCTGTATGAAATGTGACATCGTATCGATTATTGTATCTCCGAAAGTTACATGATGCAAGCGACAGTAATGCCATATATATCACTTTCAGTTCTAATTTGTTATAAACATATTCCACAAACAATGTTATATCAAACGATTTCCATCTTCTGATCATCTCAGACATATGTCAATATTTCTGATATTTCTTTCAAGACTTTATTGTTTTATTAAAATTATTAATTTTTAACTTTGTGTATATATGTGAAATCCATTCATTTCCATTACCGAAAAATACTTTTCAACAAATTATTCATTTTTGCTTGAAGGAACTTACTATTAATAACCGTAATAAATTGTTCTGGTAAATTTGTTTTTGCTCGTGTAATCATCACAATTTCGTCTTTCAGGTCTGCCAGCTGCATTTATCTTACCCTGGGTAGTTACGAGAATCATATATGAGGACACATATTGCTGGACGACCAATGTGAAGCCACTCTTGTTTCTCTTTATACGAGTACCTACGATACTCTCTATTTTGGTAAGCATTTTGTGAGTGCCAAAGAAGCTCGTTGAGCTATAATTAATTCAGTCGCAAATAAATTTACCGTTTCACTCATGTCAGATAAATTTTGTGCTCTTCATCAACATCGTGAGAGTACTGCTGGTAAAACTCAAGTCCACCATGTCGGAGGAAACGCAAAGATACAAGTAAGCTTTATGTGAAAAGTTATAATACTTAGTATATTATAATCTATCATAATCTTATTTTTTTTATTTCTTTTTTTTAGCGAAAAATGGCACACATATGTAAAATTATTTTATATATAATTTTAATAATTATTATATTTATATATAATTTAATTAACTACACGTATATATGTATATCTATTATATTCCGATTTAGACGGTGGGCTAGAAGTACGTTAGTCTTGGTACCACTCTTTGGAGTTCATTACGCATTTTTTATCGGAATGTCATATAGTATCGGCGTAAACGAGACTGTAGAAATCGTATGGCTCTTCTGTGACCAGCTGTTTGCATCTTTTCAGGTATATAATATTAATAATTATTAATAGCACTAATCTAGTTTATACCAAACGCCGAACTGTCTTAAGTAAGCTTTTACTAAACCTCTTAATGATTGCTGCATTTCAACTAGTTGAAAAATTTATGCAAAAATTACTAAGTAATCTACAAAATTTCCAAAATTGAATTATACACTGAGCTAGTAATAAAAAGTTTTATATTTTTAATTGAATTTTAAAAGCACAGATTATTGGATTTACGTAACTTTATGCCATTCAACTTTATATAGCAGAACCTTATATCATATAAACAGCGAAATCTGAGTTTTTTAAATCTCTATGATTAAATTTTTTTCTAATGTGTGTATAATATTTATTATACAAGATAACTCTTCTTTATTAAATTTCAATTTTGTTATATTCTAAAAATTTTTTCTTCACAAAATTAATAAATAATGATAAAAAAATAGGGACATAGATGAATAAACGCACATGAGATTATTAAGTGAAAAAATAACAGATAAAATAAAAAATACTATTAAAAGATATAAATAACAATATTATAATTTTTTTTGATTTACACAAAAAAAAATATAATAATATTATAAAGATTCGCATTAAAAGAACTCTGATCTGCTCAGCAACGATTAAAATTACAGAAGTTATTTCTTTGTTTTCGGAAGGGCTTCTTCGTGGCGGTATTGTATTGCTTTCTGAACGGCGAAGTAAGGACTGAAGTGTCCAGGACGCTTCGGAGCATCAAGTGGACGCGTATTCATGGAAAACGATGGGGTTCACGACCATCAACACACTCAGTCAGCACATGCAGCTGTAACAATATCTCAAAGTCTGGCAGTCGACACTCAAGGAAACCCAAGTGGTGGAAGTCACGCTGGAAGGCAAATCCTTGCATGTTCCAAGATCAGACCATCCGTCAGTCCACCCACTCGATGGCGAGTACACAAGGTGTCCCCTTAAATCCTATGAAACGTCGTATCCTCTGTCTCTTGTGTCTCGTCCTTCTTATATCCATTGCTTAACGTTTATTACTTGATTCTACTTTGATCCTTCTTTATTTTAATTCCTTTAATAGATTAGAATTAATAAATCAAACATAATTGTTTGACGATTGAATCGTATTGACGATTAAATCGCTACTTAAAAATTTCTGGAAATTGTTAAAATATCTCAGATACAGATTTCTTTGTTTAAGGAATTTGAGCAAAATAAAACAATTAATCAAATCTTAAAAAAAAAATCTATGCAACTAAGATGCTTTTGATAACTATTTGAATAAATAAAATCACAGATGAATCAAATGTTTAATATATTTTGCACTCAACATATGAGCTATCCCATACAGCACAAGATATTCTATGAACATCTTAAAATATTTTATGAATATTTGAATATTCTACGAATGTCCTAGAATGTTTATGGAATATCTTGTGCTGTATGGGATAAAGAATAAGCAAGCACATTAGTAAATTTATTTCAAAAATTTGTCATCTAAATTAAAATAATATATACAATTCTTTTTTTCCTATTGATTTTTCCGTATTCTAGATATAAAAAAGAAGACAGAAAAATATTTACTAACTATCTACTAAACTGAAAATAATACATCAAACATACGATACATCATGAGAAAAATAAAGCGTTAAAAAGAACGTTTGGTATTTGAGTATAAAGTCTGAGATTAAATTTAAAGTCAAAAATCGATCATTATTAAACAAGGCAGTGAAAAGCTTACAATATTTCTTGAACGCGAATCTACGCAGCGCATATACATGCGATTACGTAATGAAATTTTACAGACGTTAGAACGAGAGGATGTAGTTTAGCGAGCAATAAAGACTTGGAGATTGTCGATAACAATCAAATACTGCAATCGACGATGCAAGATCAACATATTCATCACACATCGCCTCTGTGCAGCAAGTATACGGATCAATCGTTACTCTCCTTCTGCTCGAACGTGAGTGTGTCACGCGAATATCTGTGTCAAATTTTCTAAATCTTTAATATAGTTATCAGTAAATATTTTACTCTTTATTTCATCGCGCTCATTATAACATCTAGTTATATTTTTACATTATATTTTTTGAATACCAATATTTAAAATTTATCTAAATTTATATAATATTTAAATAGAAATATGTACATTTAAATAAATTTAAACATATAAAATAAATATATAATGTATATATTTATAAGCATATATATTATTAATTGCTTTCCAAAATTTATTGGATGAATAAATGTTCGATTTTTTTTCAAACGATAAAAAATATCTTGTTACTGAAAAAATTAATTTTTGTATCACTAAATCATTTTTTTTTCTTTTAGTCTGAAGTGTCGGGAAATATCGATAAAATCCGTGATCAACATCGATGGAGTGACTCGGAATGCTGCCATCTCGCATACGAATTGCATAAACTATAGCAGCATTATACCAGTGATAATGCTTGGATTCAAACATATAACAAAATACATGTCCTGTAAATGTATAATACGCATTTAAATGCGTATATTATCCCTGAAAGAAAATAAAACTGAAGGGATTTAAATCTGACATAAATTTTCCCACGAAACAGAGAGAGAAAAAAAGAAGAAATAGAAGTAAAATTTTATTCTTTTATGTATGTTTTTTATGTCTTAGAGTAGTTTTTTATATATTATAAATGGAAATTCAGTCTTATTAATTCTTCTTTTACAGGAACACATCGTGTTGTTTATATAATCGTTCATGTCGTAATTTAAATAGTGTAAGCATAAATGTACATGTATAATATGTATAAAAAATCAATATTCGATATTTCATTATTTTAAGCATTTGTTGAAATGTATTGGAATATTCGATAAAGTATCTCGTATCGATATATCTCAATGTTTTGAAATTCTATACGCCACCTATTGTTGTTGCACAAGCTTTACTCGCGAAACTGTTATACGTCCATTATTTACAACGATTTCTATGCACACTCTGATATAAATAAAAATGAAAACAGCTTATTAAATTATGAATATTATGTAATCATGTAATATAAATATATCATTAATTATATTATTTATATAAACTTACTTAGGTATTTTTAAAGAAGAAATTTTTTTATTTAATTATTAACAAAACTTTTATTTTTCACATTTAAGAATACTCAAGATATCTCTTTTATTCATTATTTATTGAGTTTGTAAATAATATCAGTACTGTTATATTTATAAATCGATAGTATCCTGTTATTTGTGATGATCAATGAAAATCTTATTCAAATTCTAGTTTTTAAATATATATATATATATATATATATATATATATATATATATATATATGAGTAAATGTGCTTGAAATTTCTTTATTGATAACATAGTATATTGTGAAGTGTTACCAATTTTATGATAATATTTTAAGATAATATTTTGTTTCACATATAAACATTTAATTAAATATTTTAAGCTTAAAATCGTAAGTTCTTTTATTACATGTATATAAATGTGCATATATATATTTTACATATATATATTTATATTAAAATTGGTGATATATGCACGTTTGACAGCAAACTTATACAAATCAATTTAATGTAAATTATAATACATTAAAATAAAAAGAAAAAAATTAGTATAATCTTCTTTTATCCACTACTTATATATAGTTTTTGCAGCAAAGTTCCTATCAAAAGAATTAATTTTTTTATATTCCTTTGTAATCATTTAATACATTGAAATATAAATTATGCTGTATACATATATACAAAATTTATGTATATTTTATGCATTTATATTTGTAATATTAATATATACACAAGTTTTCTATAGTATAATGATTAGATGATGATGAAGAATTATATAAAGGAATGTTGTAATACTTATATCACTCCCTTGATTGGCAATGATGGCAACCAAGAAGGAGAGTCCTTTTTTAATTGCTCATACTTTAATTTGTTGATAAGAATACTAGTTATAATTTTGTCTACATCATGTGTTTGTCCATAATAATCAACAAACATGCCTTCTGGATCCACCAAGTATATAATAATCGTATGATCCACCTTAAAAAAGAAAATAAAGTGTTGCAAAGTTTACAAAATTACTAAATTGTTTGATATGACTTATATACTAACAATATAGTCCTCATCTTGATCTTTAGGGCCATTACTATAATAAACTCTGTATGCTTTGCATACTTTTCCAATTTGTTCAACATTGCCAGTAAGACCAATAATTTTATCAGAGAATTCTTTGAGGTACTTGCCAACAACAGTGGGAGTATCTCTATCTGGATCAACTGATATAAAAATAGGCTGCATTTGGATATTGTGCTCTTTTTCTATAAATAGAATATGCTCAGTAAACACAGAGATAGTATAATGATGTAGTAAATATTCTTTCTAATTGCTTTAAAATTAACTCTTAAATTTTTTAAATAATTTCTTACCAAGTTTATTTACTACATTTGTCATTTTTTCGATTTCATCAGGGCAAACATCAGGACAGTGTGTAAATCCAAAATATATCATTAACCATTTTCCTAAGAAATCATCAGACTTGACTGTTTTTCCTTCTGTATCTATTAATTCGAATTTACCACCAATTTTAGCTTTGCCTAATTGTCGTCTTCTTTCCAGTGCTATACTCTTTTCCTTTTCCATTCTTAGATGATTCACATATAATAGAAGAGCACCACCAATGATACTGGAAATTGTCAAACTTTGCCATGTAATTGGTGATTTTTTTGCTGTTTTCTTAGGTTCCTTTGGTAGAGTAGATTCATACAATGTTTTTGATGTATTTATATACCTAAACTATATAAAAAGAAAATTATTAAGTAAATCTGCAAAATATCTCTTTCAATAAAAAGCTATATTAAGTACATAAATAAATGATACAATTAAATTGAAAAAACAATAAGATTAAATGCAAGCATCAAGATCTATATATATTAATCGAACAAACGAAACTGACATTCATAATTGAATATATGTATATCACATAATATTCTAATTCCATTAGATTTGTGAGATGAAATAGATATTTACATTATGATATTTGTTAGATGAAATAGATTGTTACATATATTTAAAGTAAAAAAATAATAAAACTTTTATTTCTAGTGCAAAAATAAATGAGAAATTTATAGGTTACTAGTTTGCATATAACACAAAATATTTAGAATATTAATATATATTAATAAGTTTTTCAGAGAAGATTACCTTCGTTGAAACATTACTCCTATTTAATGATACAAGAGATCTTAATATTAACTTTGACATTGTTTCTGATAGAAATTCCAATTTTCAATCAGTACAATCTTTCGCTGTCAAAACAAGGTTATATCAGAGAGAAGACTGAGAGAGGTCATGGCCTGCTTTTAGGTGATCCCTGAAAGCGATACTCCCTCTACATTGAAAATGTGGACATAAACTACAAAGCCAAAATCCATAAATATTCTCAGAGGGTATAATGTGCACAATTTCTGGTTTCGTTCCGTACTATGTGCATGAAATGACGGATAGCACCAAAGTATAACAAGACACTCATGTATATAAATTGATAGTAAATAAATTATTCAATGCGCGAAAAATACTGTAATCTTCCAATATAATGTTCAAAGATGAAATAAATATTTTTCTATATTCATTGCCATATTTATACATAATTTTGATATCTCTCTTAGTCTGACTCTTTGCCTTCGACCTGTCCGGCATGAGAACCCTATCTAACTAAGGCCGGCATTCATAATTCACTCTTATATTTAAGATCCTCTTAAGTAAGTTGAAAAATACAACTATTTTACTAACTGAACGAAATCTCAAGACGCGATCTAAATTATTTTAAATATAAAAAAAAATATATATATATATATATATACAGGGTCTACCAAAAGTGTGGAAACCCCTAAAATCTCGGAAAATATACGTTTTACAGAAAAGTGTTCCAACAAAAGTTGTAGGGTTAAGAAGATCTATATACTGATTCTATCAGTTTGACCTTGGATGGCGTCGTCAAGGTCAGGTCAAGGTCACATTGACTTTTTTAAATGACACCCCTACATTTGATTGCATATTCTTATAGCTAATTCAAGAGCTTTCCAAAACACTATAATAATGTTCATTTTATTAAGTACTTTGCGAGTTATGAGGGTTGAAATAATTTCTTAATTTTACATAAACCATAAAATATCTAGTAAACCATTCATTTTTCGATTATCTTACCTTCATACTTTTATGTACAAAATAATGAAAGGAATCAATTGGTGTAAAGAAAACATACAGTTGTTTTTAAGAAAAAATATGGAATTGTTAATTGCAAATTACATATTTTTTCTTAGAAACAACTATGTGTTTTCTTTACACCAATTGATTCCTCTCATTAATTTGTACATAAAAGTATGAAGGTAAGATAATCGAAAAATGAATGGTTTACTAGATATTTTATGGTTTATGTAAAATTAAGAAATTATTTCAACCCTCATAACTCGCAAAGTACTTAATAAAAATGAACATTATTATAGTGTTTTGGAAAGCTCTTGAATTAAGCTATAAGAATATGCAATCAAATGTAGGGGGTGTCATTTAAAAAAGTCAATGTGACCTTGACCTGACCTTGACGACGCCATCCAAGGTCAAACTGATAGAATCAGTATATAGATCTTCTTAAACCTACAACTTTTGTTGGAACATTTTCTGTAAAACGTATATTTTCCGAGATATTTAGGGTTCACATTTTGTAGACCTGTATATATATATATATATATATGTGTGTGTGTGTGTGTATGTATATACATAAATACATAAATGTTTTGTGTTACGATAAATCTTGTAAAATCATTGATCTTTAATAGTATCTCGTCAGTGAATGCTTTCGAATGTTACACTTTATGTAGCAAATTTTTTATATTGTTCTATTACAATTTTCATAACAGCAAAATATTTAATGCTTGATGCTTTAAATGTATATATAATACAAGGTACTAAATTATAAAGTGTAACATAATTAAAAAGTATTACTATTATTACTATTATTATTACTATTATTAGTCGACTTAATTACAAGCTATTCCTAATTACTACTTATGTTTATCCGATGCATCTTCTTCTTCAAATCTTTGCAATGTTGTGATCTGTCGCATTCCCAAGACTATAGGGACTCGTGCTTCTTTCTTCTTATCGTTTTATCATTCTTTTACTCTCTTCCATCTTATTCAAAATATATAATAATTATTAACTAAGTATTATAATATATTATAATATAATATAATTATTATATTAATAATTAATATGTATAATATATATTAATATATAATATATATTAATAATGTATCATAATGTATAAATAATGTATAAATTAATAATGTATAAATTAATATATACAATTAATTAATAATTACTAATATAATAATTATAATTACGGTATCTCTCTTAGTCTGACTCTTTCTCTTTGACCTATCCGGCATGGGTGACCCTACCAGTAATTAAGGCCGGTGTTTACACAGTCTTATATTTAAAATCGTTTTAAGTAAAATTTAGAAAATGTTTGTTATTTCATTGAGACTGAACAGAATTTTAAGATGCGATCTAAGATTATATTTAAGATGATTAAATATAAAAACAAATTGTATGAATACCGGCCTACGTTACCGCCGGCATAGCTCTCCGGATCATTAGAGTACTCAAACCTCTTCACCCGGCAAATGCCTTCGTTAAGGTGGAGATACCATCGAAGAGGTACAATTTTTTTATTTTATTTTCTTTTAATATAATGTAGGTTTTTCAAATTTTCCAAATAGAAAATATAATACAAAGGATGTATAAAATATACATATATTATATATATATATATATATATATATATATATATTATACAATTATAAAATATTATAATACATAAAATAATACATAAAATATTATAATGCATAATTACATAGCTTGCAGTCATATAAAAATATATTAAAAAATATATATTATAATTATAGTACAATTTATAAATTGGTATCAACATCAAATAAATATGTATTCGAATTTATTCAAATATTTTCAATAATACGGATAATGATGTTGAGAGCACACATACATTCTTGGACTTCCAATAATACTATATATATAGAAAGAAAAAAAAGGAAAATTCGGAGAATAAAATAATTTTTCGAAAAATGAAGATATATTTTCCATTTTTCGACATTTATTCAAGATTTATTTTCTATTGTTACAAATATCTTTTACACATATTTTTGTTATCATTTTCATAATAGTATAACTTAATATATAATATTTTATTTTAACTCTAAATACAATAGAGTTATAAAATATAAATTAGAAAATTAATTTAATATATAATAATACAATCAAATTGAAAATATATAATGTATAACAATAACAATAATAAAATATATATACATAATATACACACATATATATATATATATATATATATAATACATAAAATTGTTAATACATAAGATAATACATAAAATTTTTCGTTGAAAATATATAGTGTAATACATAACAATAAAATATATATCATATATAATACATAAAAAATTGTTATGTAGAATATATACATAGATTACTTTACTATATTACACGAAAATATCCGCAATACGTACAACGTAAAATTGATTAGAAATTTTTAGAAAATTTTTAGATTAGCGTAGCTGATAATCTCGACTAAAAGAATCATTAATAAATTTATCGCTTGTGTTCCTCTCAATTAAGAAAAAGTAATTTTAATGCGAAATTTTAATTCATTTTATAAGATTTTTTAAAAGAAATGTTTGATGACGCGGAAAGATAAGTAAAACTTTGATGTTACCCAACAATTAAATCAGAGAAAAAATTAAATTTCGCGGTTTAAATTTCGCGAATATATATGATAAATAAATTAATTAATAATAACAGTAATATTTAACCACAATACACATAATTTCTATAATAATCGGAATACAACGTGCGCAATATAATTATTATCATTTTGTGCGACAATAAAAATATTGCAACATTAGAGACGCATTTCATATAATTTGCACAATATTATAATATACGTAAGGAATCAAACGCGGATGCAAAATCTAATAGTCGATTTCTTTTCAAATATACAATTTCATGTAAATTTCGCGATCAAAAGTAAAATATATATCTTGTTCCGCGAACAATTGCAAACAGGCTAAACTTTAATATCCTTATGCCTTAAAATAATCGCATTATCGCCACGTTCAATGAAGAATAACTGGCCCAACGATTAAACCAGATCAAAATCCCTCTGCCGAGTGACACGCTGGTTAATATCTGACAGAGAGAAGAACGATCCTAAAAGTGGGAAGCGACTTCAATTTGTCTTATTTCTTCTATTTCGGATCTCGCGAAATCGATCCACAACGGATAGTTAAGTGATTCATTAAACATCAGAAGCTTCTCTACAAGAAAGAACGAAACCCCGATCTTCCTGACTGCTCCCGATAACAGCGATTTTGGCAGCGGATTAACGACTGTTACCCTTCTTATCATTTTCAATATATAATATTAAAATTCGCGTAAAAAACATCTTCCATTTTAAGAAATCTTTTTTTTTTACTAAAAAATGTGTGTGACTGGATATAATAGTTTTTATATACATGTTACAATCAAATATATTTAAAGGTAAAATGAAATACATGCGCTTTTATCGTTGCTTGATTAAATGTGTGAATAATAATAATTTTAGGGTACCAAATTTGCTCAAAATTCGAGACAAATCAAATCTGATAACAGCAAGATTAAAAAAAAATTCAACTTGAATATTTAGCAACATCAAACGAAAGATTATCAAGAAATTAATTTTTCTGTTGCATTTAACAGTTAAGACTTAGCACGTAACAATAATTTGCAGATATCTTACTGATATCAGAGTACCCATTCGATTTGTCTCGAATTTTTTAATTAATCACACATTTTATATTATATCATGCATTCCTAATATATTATTAAGAATAATATTAAAAAATAGTTTTTCAAATATGTCACAATTTACGCACATGTATTTTATTATATGTACACTCTTATCTAAAATAAACTAATTATAATATACATAAGATAGTGGAGCATCCAGTAATTCCTGCAAGTGGTTTCTTAAAAGAAACCAAAAATAAAATTAATTCAAAATTAATTAATAAAATATACTTGTTTGTAACCATAATTTTTCAAATAATAAAAATTTTGCACAAAAAAGTTTGCGCAAAAACTTATTAAATTAAATTTATATTTGAAAAAGTGAATTTTATCTATTATATCCATTTTTGAATTATTATTTTCATTATTAAAATAATAGTGATATTAATAGGAGGATATTAATGGAAGAACATTTTTAACAAAAAGAGAAAATAT